GAAGAGACAGCAAACGGCCCCTATGCATGAGACTGGGAAGCAAGCGGATGTCCTTCAGATGCGCAATGTCGTGCGAGATCTTATGGCCCAGATGATGTGCATCACCTGCCAGGGTGCATCTTTCTCTTGTGGGATATATTTCGGGCGAAGGCTTGGGGCTTCTGAATCCTGAAGCCGGAACCACATTCAACTCCATGCAGGTGCGTCACATATCTAAATGCAGACCTCTCTCGCTCTGTTCATCCTTCCTCTTCGGGCAGTGTTCTGTGAAAATCGCCACCCACGACTTTTCGCAGCATTCCGGCATTCCGACGATGACAACACCGTTGCTCGGAAAGTAAACTGGTGGAACTACTTGGGAGTTTCCGAGAATAGGGGACCCTAATATAGTACCCTAAATAGTAGGATCCTTATTATAAGGATCCCGAGAAAAGGTACCCCTAATTTTCGGAAACTCCCACTTCTTTCCACAAACTCTAAACGTAAGTGAAGGGCTTGTTAAGGACGTGCGGGCTGGGGTAAATGAAGCCTTGCGAGGGCTGGCGGGCCATTGTGTATCAGGCCTGTCTGGGATTCGCGGAACATGTGGGAGCTTCCGAAAATTAGGGGTACCTTGTTTTGGGGTCCTGATAATAAGGATCCTACTATCTAGGGTAATATATCAGGATCCCCGATTCTCGGAAACTCCCATGTGCTTCGGGGCATCGGCCTACAACCTAGATGCGTCGCAAAGAGCTGTTGGACAGGCTACCAAGCTTTTGTATAAATGGCTCCGCTATCTGAAATAGGGTGTTCAATGATCTAGCTTTTGACTCAGGAAATAACCTACCACGAGATAGTAGACGAATGCCGAAAACTGCCACTTTCTGCCCAGTCCAAACCGGACTGAAAGGTTGAAACCGCCGACCCCGACCAATGTCACCACATTAAATGGGTGTTTCCGAAAATAGGGGACCCTAATATAGTACCCTAAATGATATATAGGACCCTTATTATAAGGACCCCAAAATAAGGTATAAGTTTACAGTTTCCACCATTGGACAGTTTGTAGTGCAAGGCTGGGAAGAGCAGGACACGTGGCTCTACGTTTTCCTGACTCAGGCTTTATCGGTGGGTTTGGGGTTCAAACGCTGCAGGATGCCTTCGGTGATGATACCCATGTCAGCGAGCTCTTCAACCTCTTCCAGCTGCAAGTGCAAGAGCTTCGCCTCGAAGCATACTTCATGCACACCGGAACACCGATAAGGCCCGCGTCTCTCAGTAAGGATTAGAACGGTTATCCTGACCTTCATGAGGTTGCACACGAGGAGCTGCTTGTGTGGTGAACGGTCCAGGGCACGGGGTTTGTTTTGGATTGTGGGAGTTGAAAGCTTTGGCGTTCAAGCGCTCTGACAGTGCCGCCTCACCATCCTCTACGACGCCAAGAGTCTCCAGAACATCCTACGCAAAAGCTGCTCGAGGTGAGCCCCATAGAGAGCCTCTCAATGTCAATGCACCTAATTAAACTCTTGCAACGAATCTGCGATGCCCACTACTCCCTCAAGACCCTGTCAGCGCCCTGTTCAAAAATCCACTCTGCACACCGGGAACAACGAAATCTACCACCGACAAGTTGCAAAACCTGTGGCTTAAGCCCGACACCCTAATCCCCAAAACTCAATACACCGCCCCGAAACTAAACACGACAAAAATCAACGGCCTTACACAGCCGAACACCTACACCTGGCAATCAAATCAACTAGACGTGTAATTATGCCTGAAGCTTCGAAAACCTTGACCCCTTATAGGTTAGCTACACACACTGAACCCTCGAACGACGCACCCTCTCCGTGTTCCAGGCAAAAGAGAAGCTCAGAGAAGCTCTAACCCTTAGAGTTCTCAAGGCCCTAAACCCTCCATCCCTTAAGAAATCCCTTAAAGGGAACCCTTAAAGGGAACCCTTAAAGAAATCCCTTAAAGGGAACCCTTAAAGAAATCCCTTAAAGGGAACCCTTAAAGGGAACCCTTAAAGGGAACCCTTAAAGAAATCCCTTAAAGGGAACCCTTAAAGGGAACCCTTAAAGTTCGCAAGGCCCCCGGACTGCCAACATCTTGGATCGAACCATGGTCACGAGCCTCGAACCCCAGAAGCCGGGCTCTGCTTGGGTCCCTTTAAAGGGATCTATAAGGGGGTTGAGGGGTCCCTGTAACTTAAGGGATCTATAGGGGTTTAGGGTTTAGGGTTAAGGGATGTAAGTTAAGGGGCCATAATGGGGTTCTATAGTAAGCAATAGGGTTCCCGTATTATGGTAACCTAAATTAAACAAGAACCATGGTCACGAGCCTCAAAACCCCCCAAAGGCTCCAGGTAGGATTTAGGGTTTAGGGTTGAGCCTCAAAACCCCCAACAGCTCCACGTACCAAGGGTTCCTTTACGGGTTCCTATGGCATCCATAGGATTTAGGGTTTAGGGTTTGGGACTTTCGGGAAATAAAGGGTGCGTACAACCCCAAAGGCTAGCGTTATGGTTCCTTTAAAGGGTACTATAAGGGTACTACGAGGCTTACTTTGAAGGGCTACTCTAAGGGATCAGGGTTTCCGGAAATTGGGGGGTACCCCTCTTTTGGGGTCCTGATAATAGGGATCCTGTTGTTTAGGGTGCTATATCAGGGTCCCCTGTTGTCGGAAACTCCCATATAGAGTTTAAGGTTTAGGGCTTAGAGCCCAACATAGTAGGTAGTTAGCAGATACCTGGTCCCCAAAGTATAGACGAGCCTCAAAACCCAGAGGGTAAAAGTACCAAAAAACCCTAAACCCTAAATCCAAAGGGGAGCAGTACCAATATCGTCGGTACTTTGGAAGATATTTGGGCCATATAGTATGTACTTAGATATCGTAGGTTCTTAGTAGATGTTTGGGTCCCCAGGCTTGGGCCGTTTGGGAAAACTCAGGGGCTTTAAGAATTGGGCTTGTATAGGGTTCCTTTAAAGGCTCTATCAGGATGGTTTAGTGTGGGGCTTTAGTAGATGTCTCCGCAGATTTTGAAAGTGTTCTAGTGTTTTGGGAGGGTATCCCGAAAGGGGTTTAGGGTTTCACAAGGGTGTGTTAGACATGCCACCAGCATCTGGCGGTCTGTTTCGGTTTCTGGAGTTTATGGTTTCAGACGCACATTCGCAGTACTGTTGTCAGGGTTGCGGGTTTCCAGGGCGCTGTGAGTACTCCTGGAATCAAGGGCCAAGGGCTCCAGAAAGGTATTGATTGTCAATCTGCTTAGCGGCCTTTTGCTCAGAAGCCTTAACGTTCAGTGTTGGTGCGATTTTGGAAGGGTAATTCAGGAGCTTGCCAAAATTAGACTATGGTTTGGTGGTAGATTATGGCCATATGTGGGTCGTGAGGGTGCAGTTTCGCTGCATATTCCGACCCTTCCGTTTTGCGGCTCCCACCTCAGGTCCAAATCTAAAGCCTTGGATCTTGAAAGCCTCGAAAAACTGGGACACAGTTGCACTCCAGAGGACTTTTACTCTTGGGTTCCGAATGCACACCTCAATATAGAATATGCAAGGGCCCAACAAACAAGTGGGTTTCTGCAGTTCAAAGTAAGGTTTAGCGCCTTTGCCGCCCTCCCGTGTGATCAGCGGGGAGCTGAGGAGTTTGGTAAGTTGAGGTTTAGGTTGAGAGTCCTGTTTGGCAACAAGCTGATACACTTATGGAAGGGGCAGACTGTGAATCCTCGAGACTCGAAGGTATCTGAAGCCCCACCCCTTCAACAGTGCAAGTATGTCAATGTAAAGGGCTTGGGAAAATGAGAAACTGGTTTGGGGGTAAACGTATGTAAAACATTCTATCAAGTAAATATCAAACTATGCCAGGCACAATTTGCAGTCGGCTCTTTTCCGATACGGGAAGCGCAGAGAGCAAAATCTGGGTCTGGGAGCAACACACCGCTGGAAGGTCACATTCTTCCCGCGCCGAAAAATGCCCTCATCTACGGACAACAGCTACTGCAGCCTTCTCACATCCAAAGACTGCCAGATGCCTTTTGCCAGGGGACTCTTCAGCAGTGTAACTGGCCTTCTGCTCAATACTCCAGCAGCCTACTGAGAACTCGCATGATGAACAGATTCAGCAACGAAGTACCCCAAATAGTAGGATGCTTATTATAAGGACCCCAAAAGAAGGTACCCCTAATTTTCGGAAACTCCCATATTAGAGAACAGTTGGAGGCCCGAAGGCTTCCTGCAAGAAGGCGCAGGAGAATATAATTTTTGTTAAGTAATATCGGGGCCTTAATAATTAGAATAGGCTTTTTGGCTCCTTAATTCTATAATTACAATAAGGAACTACTGCCCATTGACTCATTGGTGCAAAACTAGAACAACGATTACGAGCTGCGGATTTCACTTTGATGAATGGATTTGCAAGGGCAGCAAGCTACATGTAGGAACACTCGGTCTTCATAAAGCTTGCCACCCAACAGCCGGGGGGTCCCAAGTGCCCAAAGAGTACGGTTGCAAGTACCGAAACAAAGTACAGTAGAAGCCAGAAAGTTGGAATATCATTATCGTAACCCCTTTAAGGTAAATTATGGGGGGATCCTATCATTAATCCATATCCCAACTTTCTGGAGTTTTTTTTCGGGTCTTTGGGACCCAAAGCACTCCTAGCTGGGTACATGGACCCTCAAGGCTTTGGCAATCAGTAAACAGCCGATCCTTAAAGGGTCCATGTACCCAAACAGTATACGCCTCGGCCTGCCTTTCTGAAGCCAGCTCTATTCCTGCCTAACTATAGTACTTTGGGCCTAGAAACTGTTTGGGCGCACGGACCCTGAGTGGATTTATCTGAAGTCACCATAAGAATGAAACTTAAACGAAACCGCTATTATTTACTATAGGTTCCTCGCATGGCAACTTGACTTAAATTCCGTAGCAAAAACCCTAAACCCTAAACCCCTAAACCCCTAAACCCTAAACCCCTAAACCCTAAACCCAGCAAAAACCTAGTTAAGGAGCCAAGGGCCTTTAGTCATCCACCAGGAGCTCGATGTTCAGGAACTCGGACAACTTCGATGCGCGCTTCTCAAGGACGTACTTGCTGTAGACCTCGCAATCCCTAGGGCTCCAGTTACATAAATAGTAGGTTACTCGCCTTACAAGATGTTACCCAATAACCCAGTATTTAGGTAACTGGAGCCCTAGGGAATGTCACGGTTTAGAAGTAGCCATGAACTGGACAACCGAGACTCGGGGCTACGTACGGTCCGTTGTGACATGCCTTCCAGAATTAACCTGTTGCCGGGGACTTGTTCATGTTTTGGGATATCCTCTACTCTGAACTCGAAGTAGGCCGCGACCTCGGGGTCATCCATGAAGTGGATCTCTTGGCCTTCCTCAGGGGCATTGGAGCTTTGGGTCGTTTTGAGGTTTGAGGACAATACAGGGGCCTTGATTCGTAGAACAAGAAAACGGTTCAGGGGTATACTGTGCAGTCGTTAGTAAGAGTCCCCAGGAACAGTGTTGGCAGTTAATTTTGCCTGCTGCCTTCTATATGGGGGGGTTTCCGAAAATAGGGGACCCTCATATAGTACCCTAGATAGTAGGATTCTTACTATAAGGACCCCAACTAAGGACTCCAAAATATGGAATCCCTAAGTTTCGGAAACTCCCATACCTCCGGCTCTAGTGTAAGGTTTGGGTTTCAGGCCTTCGGGCGCTGTTGGCCCCGAGGCTCGAACAACTCACGGCCCCCACCCTGTAATAGTGACCATAAAGATTATATTAGGGCCCTGATATATTCCTATTATGCCACTATTACAGGGTGGGGGGCCCCTTCTAAGGTCGATGGCTTTTCGGGCCCGAATGCCTTACATGGAGCGGGGAGTGTCCGTGGATGGTGTGAGCCTGAGGGGTTCAAAACAAAGCAAACACCGATAAACCTATAGAGACACATACTTAAAGAGCCAAAGAAATAGGCATCAACTTAGATATATATATATATATATATATATATACATATATATATATATATATATATATATATTTTGTTTATATAGATTGAGGAACAATTCGTCACTGCTTGGCCGAATGTGGAGGCCTCAGTAAATAAAGTAGGGCATGGTGGTAACATGAGGACTCTCAGGTATAAGTCCCGATTTCCCTGGCCTGTGTGACCAGGTACAAGTCGCGGCTTCCGGTAATGGCCATGTTGGTCCACTCGAACTTCACGGCCTGTGGAGGTAGAGTTGGGGGTTTCGGGGGTTCAGGGACTACAGGCTTTCGCATTCGCAGGAGTAAGCTGATAAATCCCGATGCCAAACTTTCACCCCTAAACCCAAAACCCTACCCGAAATCCTAAACCTTTCGCAACTCCGCCCCCATCAAAATCCCTGACCCCCCTAACCTCCCCTCCCCGCCAACACAGAGGAAGGCTGCCTGGAAGTCAGAGAGGGGGACCTCACGAATCATGTCGCCGTTTCTCACCTGGGTATAAGGGCTTCCGGATTTGGGGTCTCCCGGAGACCTTCCTTGCGGTTTGAGTTGTTTTTTTTGTTTAAGGGCTGCAGGGTGGGTCTCAAAAGCCCCCTTTGGGCGGCTTAGGGTTTAGGGGTTCAGGGGTTTAGGATTCTTAAATGGGCTGTTTCTGAATGGTGTAGAGCTGAGGGCTTTTGGGGGCATGAGGTCGCAGGCTTCGGGGTTCGCTTTTGCGTCGTGGGCTCTTTGCAGCTGCCGGCCCCAGTTCTCATTCCAAAAGGGTCCAAGTCTAGTTATGTTAAAAACTTATAGGGTATTTTGGGGGTCTAAGTATATACCATAATGATACTTGGACCCTTTGGGATTGACAGGATTTAGGGTTTAGGGTTTTTTTTCCGTTTAGGCTTTCGGATTTAGCGGTCAATATGTCAAGGGCTTAGGGCTTAACAAACAAGGGTTTAGGGTTTAGGGCTCTTCAAGGCAAATTTTGCTAGGATACCCAGTAACCTAAGAATAAAAAGGCCTCTCTTTTTGGTATTGGGTAACTTTATAAGGAACCTAGGACTACAAAAAGGGAATAAGGGTACTACTGGGCATCCTAGTTTGCTTCGACGTCTACTCAATCCTCCCTTCAGGGCTCTTGAACAGACTACAACACAAAACACACAAAGCAAAACACACACGAATGTCTCCCAGGAGATTAACAGGAGCTATTCGGAGCCGGCAGTCTGCAAGCAGCGAGATTTGGAGAGGCAAGCCTTGCCAACTCAACCCGAAGCCCGAGACTCCCCTATAGTAGACTTATCTTTTAAGTAACCAGGGAGAAAAAAGTATAAACTTTTATTTCATAAGGGTTCCATTTAAGAAAAAAGTATTAAAGTATGGTATTTCAAAGCCCAGTAGAAGCCAGAAAGTTGGAACATCAGGCTCCTCATGCCCTTATTGTAAAGTATAAGGGATCCTAGCACTAATCCTCCTAAAGCCATGTTCCAACTTTCTGGCTTCTACTGTATGTGTAGGGGGCTCGGGGCCAGGCTTGGGGGTTTAGGGCGAAAAACTCTCAAGATCCAACCGCAAGTATGATATGGGAGTTTCCGAAATTGGGGTACCTTATTTTGGGGTCCTTATAATAAGGATCCTACTATATAGGGTACTATATTAGGGTCCCCTCTTTTCGGAAACTCCCATATTGCAAGCCCAGTCGCCATGTACATGTAACCATCCTTCTTGTTGAACTCGCAGACGCCCTGGCCCACGTTGAAGATGTTGATGTACCACTGAATGGGACCTCGGAGGACGTAAGCCGATATACCCCGACCAGGCACCACATCAGGACACATCACACTCAAACGCCTCCTGATTGCATGCATGCAGTTGCTTGTTTGTGGCATGCGGTGGCTCCAAGTACCCACAGTACCCACCCGTTGAGTTCGACAGCTGTGTACAGGATAACTCACTGGGTCTGAGTGGAATGGAGCGTTTCCCTCCTCAAGGATGCCCAAAGATCTTCGCTGAGGTGCCGAAGACGAAGAAGCCAAAGATGCCGTAGAAGGACATGAAAGCACCCTGCGACTTTGACGTTTGGTGTGGCGATGTGTTGTGCAAGAGGGTGAGAAGAGTTTGGACGAGTATCCTCTCTGCGGTGTCTGAGTGTTGGAGGCCCCTTACCACCAAAAGCAGACCCGCCCTGAACACCAATGCCGATCTAGAAAGCAACCGCAGATCTCATCCAAATGAAATCACGACAACACCGCCAGAGCATGCCACGGCTTTGCATTCCCCCGATGCTCACACACGAAGCCAGCCTAGCCTTGCCCAAAACCCTTTAGCTAACCCGATAGTCGCTGTGGTCACGCGCGAGTTCTACAAACCGATCAGGAAACGGACACATGAGATATTTAGCCGTTTAACCCGGAAACGTGGCAGCAAACTCCTCCGGGAAAGACTTGTCAAGCCATAGAACCAATGTCACCGCATCTCCCTGCAGCCCCCCCACCCCCAAACGTGGGAAGTCGAAAGATCCAAATGTCCATCGAAATGTGCCCCCCTAGCTGCCTGTGGCAAGAAATTGATTCCCTCGGAAGGTCGAAGGAACCCGAGGTACTCAGAGGTGATCGGGCTCCTGCGCTGACGGCTAGCTAGGCGCTGCGGTGATTGGGGGGAAGCAGAAGCAGAAGGCAAGAGTAGGGCACGAGCCCTCGGGGCGTGGGGTCTGCGAATTGGGAGGGTTTCCTGCACTGTTTCGTGGCTGTTTCGGGTTGCGGGCTCCAGTCTAACTAATGATTCCCAAAAGGTCCAAAGTACCTATCTCGTAGAATATAGGATTTCTATACTAGGAATTACTATGATTTAGGGAAGTATCCCGCATAACAGTACCTAGGACCCTTTGGGATTGTAGTGTCGTCTAAGCCTGGCTCTGGGCCTGGGTGGCTCTGCATTAAAAAGTGAACGTACGCGTCTTGGGCCCTGGCACGGCAATCCCATCCCAACGAACCGTTTATGCACAGACACAAGCGCGTGCGCGCCACTGCCCGCTGCCTTTCTGCTCGAGGTATCTTTTCCTTCAAGCAGCTAAACCCTGAACCCTAAGCCCCGAACCCTAAACCCTAAGCCCCAAACCCTAAATCCTAAACCTATAGACCTAAGCTCTGAACCTAATACCTGAGCCCTGAGCCCTGAACTTTGCACTTCATCCACATGATGGAAATCCGGCGGTCCAATCCACGATCGGCTCTCCGAAGAAAGAGGAAACACCGACCTGCATACGGTGTCTTGGGTCCCCCTTTAAATTTCTATGAGTTAGGGTTTAGGGTTTAGGGTTTAGGGGTTTAGGGTTTAGGGGTTTAGGGTTTAGCCTATCATGTTGGGGGCAGAAGATGTGCGGACAGAGACCTCAAATTACGTCTCGCCAGGAGACAGCTGGGGCTTGAAAGGGTGAAAGCCCGTCGAAGCTCCGAAACCCTAAACGGTCTAATTCTATGCCCGTGAAACTCCCCTGGCCCGCACGATAACCTCACCTTTGGTTAGTAGGGAATGGAGGAATGGCAGTAATAGTAGTTATAATTGTACCCCATTCCTCCATTCCCTACTAACCAAAGGTAAGTAACGCACGCTAAACGCAGAAAGAAAGCATCGAGCTTCCGCAAAAGCCCTTGAGCTCTAAAGCCGAAAACCCTGCACCCTAAACTCCTACCCCCCCAAAGGAGCCTTTCTAAGGAATCCTTATAATATAGTACCCCTTCAAGGAAGGCCCCCGAAAGGAGCCTTTCTAAGGAACCCTTCTATATAATTCGTATCCCTGCAAGGAAGGTAAAAGAACCTTCCAAGGATCTCTGCGCCGAGACACCACCAAGAAGCCCAGGGACACAGCGGGCTGCACCTTGTGCTCAGGGTTTAAGGCCGTCTAGGGTTTAGACAGGGGTCTTCTAGTAAAGCCTCAATCAGTAGAACGGGGTTCCTTTAAAGCGATTTATGGGGTTCTATAACGATTTCCCGGCATCCGGGGCCTAGTAATCACGTCGCTTTGTTTGGGGCTGTGCAAGATCAGGGAGGCGCACTTCGCAGTTATTGCTACCCGGACAATGGCCTGCTACTTCAGTAACTGGGCTTTACGGAAACCCTGTGAAGTGGCTGTTTTGGTAGGACCTTGCCATGGCGTAGCACTTTACAGGGGCTGAGAACCCTAGGCAAAAGATAAACAGTTAACCTTTTCAAATGCGGTGGCGGTGGGATAGGCAGAATTATATAAACCCCAAAGGTTAGCGCTGCTACTACGTATATCATATACCCAGAACCTGAAGCTCGACCAGGGCCAACATGGACGACAGCTAGAAAGCTTCACCCCTAAAACCTGAACTCCCAGCCCCCCACTCCCTCCACCTGAGCCTGGTAAACTGTAAAAAGCCCGAAGGGTCCATGTACTCCTCATGTAGTATATACATTGGCCTTAATGTAGTCCCTACTGTTGATGGACAAAATCCTGCATGACCTTAAGGACCCTAAACTATGGGAACTATGGTATATTCCTTATAGAGGGTAATGCAGGATTTTGTCCATCAGCAGTATTTAGGTACTTTGGGGCCCATGTATCTCTATATGGGTACATGGACCCTTAGGGAAGTGCAGCCCGGGGGGCAATGGCCCAGAAGACGGAGGTCGCTGACCGCCCACCTTTTCGGTCCCCATCAGAGAGAAGGTTTGGCAGGACCCTTGTCGAATACATGGGAGTTTGCAAATTGGGGGGTACCCGTATTTTGGGGTCCTTATAAGATGGATCCTACTATTTAGGGTACTTCTTAGGGTCCCCTATGTTCGGAAACTCCCATATTGGCCTTATATATTCCTACTTGCCGGGTATCATGGGGAACTATAAAGGCTACTAAGCTACCCAAACAAGGTTAAAGGTTACCCTACTCTACTACTGGGTTTATTGGGGAACAGAATGTTGGGGGATATGTTATAGTATACAAGTAGAACATATAAGGGGATATTATTAACAATATTGAAATATTATGCTCATTGTGGAAACTTAAGGCTCAAAGTTCACAAGGCTCAGGGCTTAGGGCAGTCGCTTTGGGATCTACCAGGGCTTGGAAATGAAAGGCAGGTTCGAACAGATCACCGCCTGAGCAACCTCACTCCCTGAATAAGGGGTAATGGAGGGGATTAGAATAGGATTTGTTGGGGCTCCTGATGAAACTATGGTATAATGTCCCCAAAACACTACTCGAATTCATGAGGCCCCTACATTACGATCTTAAACAGGATGTTCGTCAGAATCTTGCATTCACCCCGCTGGAGATATTCACCAGGGTCTGCGTTCGACTGATTCGGCCCTGAAGGCATTACCTATGTGTGGTAGCTATGTTGCACCCTGGCGCTGGGATTTAACTGCAAATTTGTCTACAGATTGGAGAACTTTGTTTTCAAGTTTTGCCAGATTGGGAAAACTGCTGAAGAAACAGACGGTCAGCAGCCAAGCGCATGGGTTCTGACTGGGGGGTGCTGACACTTACCAACCTGGTCAGCTGTCCCTAGGCCGTTTATATTCGGGGCTTGACCTTGGTTTCGGGTTCTGACAGAGTTACCTTTCATCTGGGCGGTATTTCCGACTGGGTCGATCATTCACCACATAAGAAGTCACAGTGATAATGATATAATGATTTCGGACTTCGGAATTCTTGGCCGTCCAAGAGCAAGCCCAGCTAGCAACCGAACAAGCATTCCAGCAGCTCTGTCCTAGAACGTTCTGATACCGGTAGACAAGACCAAGCTACGATGAGCCTCGTCAAACACCCCCAGCGTAATCCTAAGCGCCCAAGCCCTAAACTAAAATCCAAAAAGCTGAAGCCCTAACCCAAACCCCCCAAAGCAACTAATCCCCAAATCCCCAAAGCAACAAATCCCAAAGTCCTCAAAGTAACTGATAACCCTCAAATCCCCAAAGTAACGGGCTCGCCTGGGTATTTCTCCCGCAGGATCATTCCGTCCTCGGTCTCCTCCATAAGTTGGTCCGGTGGAGCCATCCAACTGCGTCGGAGGCAGCATGCAGGGTTCAGGGTTTCACTTGGGAGTTTCCGAAAACTACCTAATTTAGGGGTCCTTATAATAATAAGGATCCTTATTATAAGGACCCCAAAATAAGGTACAGCCAATTTTCGGAAACTCCCATTTGTGGCTCTTGGAACTTACAGGCTGGGCCCAGGGTTTCTGTTGGGGACATTGGAATTTACAGGTCTTGTAGAGCTTGCCTTTACCACTTAGCCTCGAAGCGATACAGTGAAGTCCCTCTTTTCTGAGACTGGCTCTCGGAAGGCCTAGGCCCTTGCAGTGCTTACATAATGGGCTGTGCTTCGCTTCGAACCTCGCACTCGTAGAGGGGGAAGGGTGATAATCCTAAACGAATCCTCTCCCGAAAACCTCCACGACAGTAAAATCAGGGGCAGCGCCGGTGATGCTCTGTAAACAGCTTTTAGTACGGACCTCAACTCGATGTGAAAGGCTTATTCCGCCAAGACCAACCCTTGCTTTAAAGCAGTTCTCATAACAGACAACACTACCACGAAGAGATTGCTAATTGAACTGGGATTTCGGGTCCAGATGACTGCAAGGTGTGTCAGGAAGATCAAGACAAAAAACCCTCGTCATCCCATCGCATGCGACTCGGTGATGGTGCCGTCATCAAAGATCAATCGCCATGAACCCCAATAAACCTCCTACTACGACTTACGAAAACCTTATGCCAAAGGGTCCAAGTTATAGTATAGTATATACTCTTGGGGCTCCAAATTCTTGGACCCTTTGGGTATAGAGAGCTGAAAAGGGATAATTGGCTCGTCTAGAAACTCCATCAGCAGCTGGCGCTCGTCCTTGCTCATTCCTCCGCCTTGGCTGCCAAGAAATAGCTGCAGGCAAAGTCCAGTTTAGGATCTAAGCATTCTTTAGACCAAAGGGCCAAGTAATAGTATGGTACCTACCTGAAGGGCCCCAATATAGACTAAGTACCTACTAAGATGGTACTTGCGCTTTGGGTGGATTCTCGGGACCCACATATTTTGACACCCAAAACTACTATGGGGCTATGGGTAGAGACTTGGTTTGGATTAGCTTTAGCTTGCGCGTCAACATCAGCTTGTAGACTTCTTCTGCTTCGCTCCAGGGTTAAACTGTAGCTTAAGCTTAGCACAGCAACGAATAGCATGGTAATGCTTGTGCCTGTTTGGAACTGTTGGGATAATGATGACGGGGCCGTTGGGATAGTTAGAAGAAAGCCTTTTGGAATGCTTCTCTAGGTCAACTTCAACGGGTAGATGTCCAGGACCATGATGCGGGTCTCGACACTTCCGTGAAAAAAACAACCTCCGGACCTTCCTCTAGGTTTAAGCACTCGGCAACAGCACGGTCACGAGCGACCCACAACGAAAAAAAAAACTAAGTCTAAGCCGCAAGAAAACGAATTAAGGCAGAAATTCCGGCTCAACGAACAGTGGCCCTGGTGTCCTTTGTCAAAGATAAGTGTTTATTAAACCCGCATAGCAAGCCCTATGTATACTTTCCCGTATAGTTAGTTCTCCTACTTGGAGGTCCAGGGGTAGTTATAAGTAGGGCTGTAATCGCTTCCCCCTAACACTCAATCCCCCCCTAATATAAAAACTGCCGGCTCCCGGAATTTCGCGGGTTCGGGCCCCGCATTCAATTTAAAGGGGGCAACATTAGGGGGGGTGGCAGATCTGTATGTGTTTTAATTGAAGGAAGACTACCGTAGTACTACAGACACCAGAGCTTTAGTGTTTAAGGGTTTAGGGCTCAGGGCTTTATAGAGCCAAAGATTACAGCAGTACTAAAGAGACACGAGAGCTTTAGGGTTTAAGGGTTTAGGCTTCAGGGCTAAAGCCTTAGGGGCTCAGGGCTTTAAGGCTCAAAGTTTAGGGCTCAGGCCTTTAGGGTTTGGGGCTCGAGGTTTAAGGCCTAGGGTTAGCCTCATTATTCCTGCCAGTCCGACTCATACCCGCAGGACCCGAAACCCCCTCTAATATAAAAACTAAACCTCCGAAATCCAGTTTTTATATTAGGGGGGGGGGCGTTTTAATATTATGGGGAAACGATTAAGTACGGTAGCTATACTTATAACGCATATTGGGGGACTTATAACCCTACTTGTAACTACCCGTGAACCTCAAGCAGGCCCTAAGCCCTAAACCTGGGCCAAGGAGCCAAAGGTCCCGCCTTCACCCTCCGCAGCAAGCGCAACCTGAAAAACACTGGCGTAGACTCTCTTTGTAGGTGAGGGGTTTAGGGCTTTAGGGCTTGGGGTCTATGGCTTAAGGCCTAGCAGTTTAGGGATTTGGGGAATTGGGGTTTTCTCTGGAGGGTCATGGTTGCTTCTTCTTCTTCTTCTAGCTCCGGTCTGTGAGGAACCCTATAAAGCTGCAACCTGAAGCTGCACCCTTTCACGATCCTTACCCCCAAACCCTAAACCCCACAAACCCTCTAAGGGAACCCCTGCAGTGATCGCTTAAAGGAGCCCTATTGTAGAACCTTGGAGGTTCATGAGTAGTTATAAGGGTTATAAGTAGGGTAACTATACTTATAACCCATATTAAGGGACTTACAACCCTACTTATAACTACCCCTGAACCTGCAAGTAGATCCCTTTAAAGGACCCCTATCAAGGTACGACCTGCCGAACCTGAGCCCCGCCTCTCGGGGCGGTGTCCGCACCTGCGGGCTCGGGCCAACGAAGGCCGTCCACAGGCTCCTCACATTCAAGCACGGCTTATCCTTCATAGGGGTTCCTTTAAGAGATCCTTTTTCAGGGTGTCTTTATGGGATCCTCTAAGGATTACTATAAGGGTACTATTGGGGTTTTGGGTTTGGGGGTTTGAGGGTTACTGTAGGGGTTCGAGGGTTTCAGGTATTTGGGATTTCAGCACTCACAACTAGACCAGCTGGGATTTTTGGGTTTGAAGCTCTTCCTGTAGCCGAAAAGACCTACCTTTTTAAGGAACTATATATAGAAACCATAATAAGGAACCCTAAAAAGGTAGGTCTTTTCGGCTACAGGTTTGGCTTTAAGCAGAACTCAGCTTCCTTCGCGATCAAGGCCAGGCCCTACCTGTGGACCGAGAGATTTTATGCAGGTGCTTACAGAAAGGCACGACATCATAATCCGGAGCCCTAGAAAGTAGTTCTCTTGAGGGATGGGCATACCCAGAGGCCCCAAAGTAGTTCCTTTTGGGGATTACCCTATAGGATTCTATATACGAACCCCAAAAAGGAACTACTTTGGGGCCTATGGGTAGTTCTCTTGAGGGATGGGCATAGGTCCTACGGTGCAACACAAAGCCCGGAGGCCCTGAAGCGAAAAAGGGAATCGAGCGCCTGCATAATTGGAACGCAGTATGCGGGTGCATTATTATACTCTTTATGGACGGTAAAGAGCACTGGTAATTCTTCCTCCAATGGGATCCTGACTGTAAGAGGTTTTGCGCCTTGGGTTGGGGGGTTTCTTAGGACTTAGGGCTTAGGAGAGTACCTAGGGGCCCTGTAGCCATGCCAAGGATGCGGTACCCAGGCCTTTCGTCATAATCATACAGTAGTAGGTCCCTAATATGATATTCCTTAATTAATGGATGTTGGAGTCCCCTAAGCCCTAAACCCTATAGATTTCCTCTAAGGGCCCGAACAGGATCCCCTAACTAAATTCTGGGTAGTTGGGGTCCATACTCGGTTCCTTGGCATCCTGAGACGCCGAATCACCAGCCCGAAAGGCCCACATCAGCCGCTTTCAACATGCACTGATTTGCAGAAACCCAGGTCAGGGTCCAAAACTTGTAAACCATGATGGGATTAACACCTACTCATGCTCTACAAACATGGTGGTGTCTGAACGGTTGCAGGACCCGAAATGAAGCTTGTGCCGTAAGCGGCACCCGATAAGCTCCAGACCATGTCCATCGTAAAAGCACGTCATGCCAAAACCCAAATGCAACCCACGTTTTGCAATCTTCTCCCTGCGAAGACGGCGACGACGAGCCATTTCAAGAGGAACGTGCCTTTCGCCATGGTCCTGCACGTCGGCTGTAGGGTGAGTTCTTTTATTGAAATTTTGGGACAAGGGTTTAGACTCTACCTGGACCATTGGCTGTAGCACCCGTGCTTTGATGGCTCCATTTATGCAAAAGGTCCGTGTAAAAACACTGTGGCTTACACGAGCAGGCATAGCTGATTAGTCTGTAAGTTGGAGCCTCTGAGAACAAACCTTCGACAGCTGTAGGGAGTTGGTGACTCGATGGCTCCAAGACCCCTTTGTCATTTCTGGCATGCGTGCGCCGAATCACCTAGAATCAAGGCTTTACAAGGCTTCTGTAAAAAGGTTCCAGAGGCTTGAATAAGGGATCTGCGCACGATTGACTGAGGAAGCCCGGAAGGGTTTGGAAGCTTAAAATAAATCGGAGGTTCTCGGGCTTGGGTTCCAGAACAAGGCCTTGGTGATCCTCATGGGGTCTATCATAGAGGTTTAAATAATTACCTATACTATCTTCGCTGGGCTCCTGATTATAATGGGCCCCAAAACCCTCAGGGCCCTGTAGTTCTCGGCTCAATGCCGCCTGCCATGCCATGCTGACCTCGAACATCCACGACAGAGGAGTCGTGCAAACTTATCTTTTAAGTAACCAGGGAGAAAAAAGTATAAACTTTTATTTCATAAGGGTTCCATTTAAGAAAAAAGTATTAAAGTATGGTATTTCAAAGCCCAGTCTACTGCCAATACGACGATGCAGAGAACGTACATGCAGGCACGCAGCGGCTTTGAGTGTGACAAGCCGTGTCCGAAGAATCGTCAAAAACTTTTTAGCCGTTGCTGTCCGCGTCGTGAAAGTCTCAATCACAACACCTAGAGACTCCAATATCCCTTAATTAAGGAATATACCTTAAATTATAGTAGGATCCCTAATATGATTTAAGGAATATTCCTTAATTAAGAGGTATTGGAGTCTCTGGGTACCCAGCCCACTGTGCCCGAGCAGGCTCCTTGTCAAGCTAACAGCGAAGTAGCCGATGCACGCGGCACGTGGGGTTACCAGTTCTTGCAAGCAAAAGCCAGAACTAAAGGCTTCAGAATCAGAACCCTGCACTTGGAGGTAGCTGTACTGACAGTCTGCAACACGGCAGCGCTGTTCCTGCCCACGCGCGAACTTCGAGCCAAAATCCACGGAACCCACCAGCCGATAGATATGTGCTCGCTAGAAAGGGTTCATTCACAGGCTCGCGGGCAACAAAGCATTACGAACCCTCCAGCATGACATGATTGTCGAGGTTCAGCATTCACATTCCTAAGTCGAAACCCTGCACACGTAAACCGTAAACTCGTAAACCTTGACCGAACAGCTACGCTCTTAAGGGAGCCCTCAGCCCCGTACCCACCCACCCACCCACCGACTCACAAGCATGTGCCCACTTATCGGATCTTTGCAGCCGGGCAGCTCTTGGGGAAACCCGGCCAGGGTTGCCCTGGCTTCCTTCCAAACGCTTCCGATTACGCTAAGCTGTTAGGGGCGAGTCACGAGTCAGCAAGAGGTCCGTGGAGATGATTTGGAACTTCGCGTTATACATACAAGCACACATACAACACCACCACCACCACCACCACCACCACCACCACCACCACCACCACCACCACCACCACCACCACCACCACCACCACCACCACCACCACCACCAACGACACCCATCCATCCATCTATCCATCCATGCATGCATGAACGCATGTACACACATGAATAAAAGCATGCGTGCAATACATGATAGAGAGGGAGGGGGAGAGAGAGAGATCGAGGGAGAAAGAGAGAGAGAGAGAGAGAGAGAGACTGAGAAACACAAAGACATGGCTTTGGAGAAGAGATCGTGCCGAAGCCCAATCCTCTTTGTGAGAAGCCTAGGCTTTGAGAGCCCAGCAGTCTGCATTCTTTTTAATGCACAAGAACTCCTGGGCTAGTTGTTGAGGGGTTAGACGGGGTTATGAGGGGTTCTTAAGGCTTTGAAAGCTCGTGGAGCAGTACATGAGAGCCTTGAGGAAGCCGTCGTTCTCTTTCTGCAACTCCTTGGTCAAGGCTCGGACTTCTGCGGCTGCTACCACTGCTACTCCTACTACGACGACGACGACGACTACTACTACTACTGCCTAAATTCTAAACGCCAGGAGTCTCGGAGCTAGCTGCCGAGGATTTGTTGTCTATTGCAAACATTACCGGGACTAATTCGACGGATGCGATGATTGCGTTAAAAGTGCAAAAAGATCATTCTATTTATAACAATTGTACCAGACAGTGTAAACGAGACGAGCACGGGTCTAAGTCCACAATGACAAATAACAACAGTTGTTGGAAGCATGCCGTTGTTACCGCGTTGCATGGTGGACTTCGAGCTCTTTCATAGAGAAGTAGTAACCAGAGGCCCAAAGTTCCCGCCGTCCAAGCTTTGGAGTGCACATGTAAAGGTTTCACGGATCCTCGGTATAGGGTGCTAAAGCTCAGGCGATAAGCTTTAGGCCTCGAGCTGTGAAGTCGAGTGCTGCTAAAAGGATCTTGGGTTCAGGTGTAGGCAGGCAGTTCAAAATTCCCATCGACATGAAAGCCGCGCACTTGGGAGTGTGGGAGACATGCATCGAGGCTGAACGACGCCGGTGCGCACCGTCACCTCCTCGCTCATATCAGATCGTGTCCGGTCCCTACGCGAATCACACCACCCAGCCCGCAGAGAAGTTCTCGTAAACGCATAGCTTCCAAAACTGCAGTCATTGGAGCTTTCAGGGCTGCTTTTAAATGGATCGGTGTGGCTGCTGAGAAATGACTGTGCCGCACCGCCCAGAGCCATAAAATCCTACCTCCGCCACTTGTGCTAAAGGGCTTAAAGGGCCTGGAGCCAGAAACGGCACAGGAGGCCCCGGAGACCTATAAGGCTAAGGCCTTAAGACACCGGATCCCACTCAGCTCTTCCAAGGAGCAATTTCTTCTGGAGAATCCGCCGTCCTCACTGCACAAAAGTGAAGTCATGTTGCAAATCGGATCGGGGATTCTTTTTGCTGGTCCCAACTTTAACCTAGATAACAAATCTAAACCTCGTGCGAAAGGCCGCTAAACCCGGTCTAGCTCTTCGCGGCTTGGGATTGCGGAAGATGTGAAAACCGCTCCCAAATTCGGACCAAACCGTTTGGATGAAGGGCTCGAGCTTGGAGAAATATGCTATATAGGTTCCGTTTCTTTCTATATGCATGCGAATTTCTAGTTTTCGTCAATGCCTGTAAAACCATAGGAGCCTCATCCAGATGCTTGAACGAAGAAACCTCTCACTTTGGCTCACAACCTGCCGCCTATGGCCTATGGACAACTGAGGAAATCCACTGACCCGACACATGCATAATAAGATTTCGAGGATGTTCCCTTGGCGCCTTGCGCCGTCGCCTGCACGATAAGATCAAGATGCGAGAGCGTTTCGCGTGGGATGACGGGCACTGCTACTGGCCATCCGCTTCTGGCCTACCTCTCGGTGGATGTACTCTTCGGGTTGATACGGTATAATTATTCTAGATTCTAGACGCTAAACCCCCAAACTTAAACCCTGCTGTAAAGACCGTTCGTGCCGGCCGCTTCCCCCTCTGCTGCAAGCAAAAAGCATATCCGCGCCGAACCATTTCTGCACTTCGCCTGGGGGGTTGCAGACCATACAACCCTAAAATCCCTAAAACCTAAATCCTGAAACCCTACCAAAACCCCTAGTCTAAGGCCCTTGCTCGGACCGACGTCCCCCTAAGCCCTAAGGCGAGGGAAGATCTTGCTGGGAGTTAACAAGGCTCACAAGTCCTTCCATAAGGAGCCTGGTGCAGGCCTGAGCCCTCACCCTGAACAGCGATGTTAGTTCGCAGGGTGTTCTCTGCACATCTGGTGTCAAAGCTACCCGCTGAAGATATGTAGGTGAAAATGCTTGGTCGGTATTTTGATTTCGGGGTTTAGAGTAACGGTGCTGAAATATCAAAGGCCTGTGAGGTTCGGGGTCACCTGGTGTCAAATCAAGCTGTCCTGATGTACAGTAGCGCTGAGTGCAAGTGGCAGCTCTCATCTAGCTGGATGTTCTTGTGCATATATATGTGTATATATCTATAAATTTTGATACCTATGACGAGAAAGTTGTATACTTGTACCTATCTATGTATAAGCACAAATAAACATATATATATATATATATATACATATTCATGAGGTCCAACCCAAGCCGACGGACCCCGCCACGGCAGCTGCACAGTAAGAAGCATATCGGCCATCGGGAAATCTGAAATATTCATATGAAGACTTAACTGTCCTCCGCCTTTGCTCCTGGTTAAAGACTTCCGGCACCGTTCTCAAGCTTGAAGTTTCAGCCCACCTTCTGCCACCTATATACTCCTCTATGACCAAACTGCCTCAAGAATCGCTGGCCTCTCATTTCGACAGATCGCAAGAAATTCGTATATACTCCAAGTATGCGACCTCCCGAAATGTGTTGAAACCTGTCTTTGGGACTCGAGAGAAGAATATCAAAGGTCGAAGATGGAAGTTGGCCACATCGGTTCTGCTCAGTGGCTGCAGGCTTGTTCGTGGGCATTGATGTAGAGGAGGATAGCACAGACACATCCTGGGTCCGGCTCGGATGGCTTCAGAGTCGAACGTTGAAAGAACTCCAAACCCCAATGTGCCGGGATTTTTTCGGGCAATCTCCGTACACTGCTTGAAGGCCAGACTCTTACGACTTTGTTCACTGCTGGCGCTTTGCTGCAAGATTTACAATGACCTAACCACGCGACGTGATAAGGTCGGGTCCTCACAAGACACACTGACAATCCTAAGACGTAGATCCCTCGGGCAATCTCCGTACTTGAAGGCCAGACTCTTACGACTTTGTTCACTGCTGGCGCTTTGCTGCAAGATTTACAATGACCTAACCACGCGACGTGATAAGGTCGGGTCCTCGTAAAGAAAGCACCAGCCAGTCCATTCCAGGCTAACTATCCGGGAACGATGCAACAACACACCTTTTTTGAACGAGGTCTCTCTGCAGTGCCTCCATAAGCAACAACACCCCTGAACCCGAAACTCCAGAGAAATCTTGTCATGATCCCGTTCTGCCCTGCTTGCGAGAGGCTGGGGGAATTCGGGACGTGCATAAAAAACAAGACTCCGTCTACGACGACGCATTATCGGATTATTGGTTAAGTCACTACCCAGACCCCCGGGAGGATCTAGAAAGTAGATCCCCTAAGTTGGGCCCCTATACTACTAAGGGTACTGTACAGGAACCCCCATTAAGGTATCTACTTTTTGGATCCTTTCGGGGGTCTGGGTAGGGACGATCATAGCAGCCAGACCCCAGAACCCAGCTGCGCTGTGCTTTGGTTTGGGGTTTAGGGGTTTAGGGTTTCAGGGTTTTGGGGTTTAGGGTTTTGGGGTTGTAGGGTTTTGGAGAACAAACATGCCTACCATCTGTTGGGCGCATAAAAGCTTCCCGAAAGTTTGGGGCTTCAACCCCGGGCAGCTCCGATAAACATTATGCAATCATTATGCACCTCTTCGTGCACACTGAAAGAGGCGAAGCATGTGAACTATGTGTATATAGATACACACACACACACACACACACATTCTTTAGCACTCGCATTCGACGCAGCAGGCGAGGTTTGGGGTGATTCGAACCCCAAACCTGAACCCCAAACCTCGCCAGATGCGCGCACACACACATACATGTGCACGTTTGTTTTCGCATGTATGTATTTTTGCTTACATATGCATATATATATATGTATTTATATATGTATATATATATATATATATATATGCATACCGCGCGCTGCATTTTTTGGCAAGTCAAACACCCCGTATATATCCATCCAACCAAGACTCAAAAAAAAATCAGACTATCCTTGAAGGGGGCGTAAAGGAACCCGCGGATCCTAGAACTACGGTTGCTGATATAAATCCTGCATTAAGCATAATACGGAATATACCATAATTCCCATAGTTTTAAGGTAATGCAGGATTTACATCACCAACCGTATCGGACATTTCGCTCGAAGAGCCGCACCCCGGAAGCTACAAATCAAAATCGTGCCCTTCCCTTAAGGGTCCAAGGACCAATAATTAGGTACTCAGATTTAGGATCGTAGTTATGTAGGTTATTATTTTGGGGACTATATGATTAGTGGGTACTTCGGTTGATGATCTAAATCCTGCATGACCTTAAGACCCTGAACCATGGGAATTATGGTACATTCCTTATTTTGGGTAATGAAGGATTTATATCATCAACAGTTGGACCCTTGGGGTCCCTTCGGGCCCACTCGGAGGCCTCACAAGGTGGGATGAAGGTAGGTGGGATATTCCCAAATAAGAGCTAAGGAGTCCCTATATAAGGGATCCTTAATCCTACCTACCTTCATCCCAAACAAGAATCCTTATACAAGGGGTACTTAATCCTTCCTACCTTCATCCCAAACAAGAAGCCTTATATAAGGGATACTTAATCCTTCCTACCTTCATCCCACCTTTTGAGGCCTCGGAGAAACAAAGGGATGAGCTCGGAGACTGGGCTTCGCGCTTCAGAAGTGTTGTAGACATAACCCTTAGGCTCTAAGGACTCATATTTTAAGGCCCAAAGACCATACTATGTAAGGCTTTTGGGCTATTTTGAGCCTTAGGGTAACTGTATAGGGTTGTGTACGTAGGGTCTTGGAATTCCTTTTTGGGGCTCAGGCGCTTTATTGAGCTTGCCCACCGACACATTACTGCAAACCCTGTGGGTATACAATGGCCACCGACTGATACACTTCTGAACATAGGTGGGTGGCTCAGTGTTTGGGGAAGGCCTCGCGAAGAAACTCTGAACCCACAACCTGCACCCCTAGAACCCACCCATCCTGAAACAGCAGATGCCTGTACACTTGGACTCAAAAGCCTAAAACGCAAACGGAAGCGGAGCATCTTTCTTGAAGATCAGGACGTCCAGCAAGGCTTTTGAAAGAGAAGCTGACACCACGGCCGCCTCCCATGGGCTTAGGAATTTGATAGGAATCAGGGTTTAGAGGTTTGGGGATTAGGGTTTAGGGTTTGGGGATTAGGGGTTTAGGAAGTAAGGTTGGAGGGGCTTAAGGCTTGGAGGCTCAGTGGTTCGGAGCCTGAGAACCGCAGGGGTCTGAGGGGTTGGGGCCAAATTGTTAGGAGTTGCGGTTTCGGCTTTAGGGGCGCCTATGCTAAAGCTGTTCTTAAGCAAGCAAGGCTCAGAGACAATCCTAGATGTTGAACTGTGGAGGGCGGTGTGTGTCTCTGAGCTCCACTTCGGAATGCTGTTCATTAAACTGTGTAGCTGACACCAAAACCATGATTTACATGCAAGCAAACCCGAAACCCCACCAGATTTGTAAACAATCAAGGGGGAAAAGGAGGGACCCTTAATGGGGACCCCTTCCCTTTAATGGGCTATATCATGGGTTTATAATAGCTATCTCAAGGGTATATACCTAGGGGTCCTTATTAAGGATCCCTCCTCTTACCCTTGGAAACGAGCTTTGCCACCGAGAGTCGGGTCTTTTCCTCAGAGTCGAGCCCAAGCATATCTCCAAGCAGTTCCTTGGCTTGAACAAGAGGCTCTCAAGGCCTCTGGGAGGCTCCATATGGGAGTTTCCGAAACTAGGGGACCCTAATAGAGTACCTTAGATAATGGGATCCTTATTATAAGGACCCCAAATAGGGAACGCCCCAATTTTTTTATACCGTATGCTTGAATCCGGGTGGAGAATTTTTTTTTGCCCTTTTTTTTTTTTTTTTTTTGGCCCTTTTTTTTTTTCCCCTGCCCTGGGCTCCTGGGTTCTCTGTATTTGCACAGGAAAAACAGCTCTTCTCTCGGGATTTTCTGTATTTCCACAGGAATCTCCAAGGGAAAACACTGCTTTCCTATGGATTTCTTTCGTTTCCTAAGGATTTGCTTGGTTTTTTCTGGGGAAAACACGATTTTCCTACGGATTCCGCTGTATTTCTCTAAGTTTTCTTTGGTTTTTCCTAGGAAAAAAACTTATTTTCCTATTACCTACGGCGTTCGTGGCATTTCTTCAGGTTTTCCGAAGGAAAACATACGTTACCTAGCTTATTCCTCGGGAAAATCAAATTTTTCCTACAATTTCGCATTTAGGACGGATTTCGTGGTGTAGTTGTTGCTACTAGTGTTGTTGTTGTTGGCGTTGTGGTTGTAGGTGTAGTATGTTGTAGTTTTAGTTCTAGTTGTAGGGATAAAAAACCCGAGGGTCAAACAAAAATCAAAGAAGGATCAAAAAATGAAAATACGGCAATTGCAGCCATTCAGCGTGATTGTTCTGTCTTTCTTACTGTGTTGTTCTTATTCCCTTGTGTTTTTTTGGGTTTGCGTTCTGTATTTCGTTCGATCATTCCTTGTCTGTCTTTCTGTGGTTGGTTCTTTCCGTTTATCTTTCTATTTTTCGATTTGTTCGTGATTTATTTCTTCCTGTCTTCCTTCCCTTGGCTAGTAGTGTTGTTGTTGGTGGCGTCACTGCAAAGTCCTTGCTGGTTTACCCAAATTTATAAGTATCATAGGATCCAAGCATCAAAACAAGTTAAGCAAGAAAAAGAACGACATCCGAAACTATGGATCAGATCTCGAACAAACGTAAGCACAAACGATAAACCACTGCCAAATTTAATGGGGTTTTAGGCTTCAGGGTTTTTGGGTTTAGGGTTTAAGGTCATTGCACTCTGACTAAGGTTCCCATACTGCAAGCCTCCACTGACAAGGTTTGCCAGGGTCTAGGCTTCAGGGTTCAGGGTTTAACGGCTTTCTGGTTTTAGCGCTTCAGTTCTAGGGATTCAGGATCAGGTCTCCTCGTCGTTGTCGGGCGCGACGTGCTTGTAGTTAGAAGCCATGGCTGCGGTTTCGCGCCAGGGCAAGGGGAAATGCTGCTGACGTGGAGGATCAGTGGACTGAGTAAGGCAAAGCATAAGTAGTTTCTACGTTTTCGTTTGTGTACTCGTGTTCTTTCTGTTCTTCCTTCGCTGTTTCTTCCGGGGCGACGTTAGTTCTCGCTGAAACTGCGTCAAGCCGATTTAAGCGTCGCACCCCTAGGACCCAGGGCAAAAAAAGCACAATGAAGCGATAGTCTTACGTATCGTTCTTCTTTATTTTCCGCGTCTTTCTTGTTCCTTTAACTATTTCTGATTGTCTTTATTAATTTATGGCCTTCCGTATTTCTTTATTTCTCTGTTTTTGTTCTTTGGTTATTTCTTCATTGTTTGTTTTGTTTTTGTTTCTAACTCTCTTTGGTTCTTTCCCTTGTGTTTTCTTTGTTCTTACCTTATAGCTTTCTTTATTTACTTAGTTCTCTATTCTTGTTTTCTTTTTTACTTGTAGCATCCTTTATTTGTTTATTTCTCTAGTTCTTGCATGGCTCTCTTTCTTTCTTTATTTATTGATTTCTTTCTTTTGTTCCTTCCTTCTTATTTACTATATATACCATATTGATTATATATACTATATATACTATATATACTGTATATAGTATATATACTATATATACTATATATATATATATATATATATATATTATATATACTATATGTACTATATATACTATATATAGTATATATACTATATATACTATATACGTACTTTATATACTATATATACTATATATACTATATATATTATATATACTACTTATACTATATATATACTATATATACACACTATATACATTATATATACATATTATATATATAGACTATATATATAATATATATAAAAATACCGTATATGCTATATATACGATATATATACCAGACATATATATATATATATATATACTATATACATATATACTTTATATACTATATATATATACTATATATATACTATATATATATATACTATGTATTTATATATATGTACTATATCTACTACATCTACCATACATACTGTATACACCGTTTATACTACACATACTGTATATACTATATATATATATACACACTCCGTCCTTCCTTCCTTCCTTCCTTCCTTCCCGCGGCAGGGCCCCTCTCTCCCTGCCTGCCTGCCTCCTTTACTTCCTTCCTTCCTTTCTTCCCTCCTTCCCTCCTTCTTCCTTCCCTCCTTCCTTCCTTCCTTCCTTCCTTCCCGCGGCGGGGCCAACAAAAAAAAAAAAAAAAAAAAAAAAAAAAAAAAAAAAAAAAAAGGGCTAAAAAAAATAGGGTCCCCCTTGAATCCTTACAGCTGCAAACCCCTACCCGAAAACTTAGGCTCCCAACACTACAAAGCACTCAACCCTCAAGCCTAAAGCAACAAACCCTGCACACACCCTAATGCCGATAACGCCTAAGCCCATCATCATCATCATCGTCATCATCATCACCGAGTCAATATATGGCGGCCTTCATAATTGGAATGGTGTTCTGAAGGCCCTTATACCATATCTATACCAATAGACCGCAAGGCGTGATCAATTACTCAGGCCCTTACATGTCTTTATACTGTCAGCGCTTGAAGGAACCCGAGAAATGTCATTATTTTTGGGTCCAGCGGCCCATTCTTTCAGGCCTTCCTCGGTATCCACACAAGCCTGCCCAGGGGGCACTGAGGGCTTTCCTACCTGGGGCACGTGAAGAAACAGAATGTAATGTGACATAATATGTCATGCAACATAATAATTAGCCGTCGAAAGCCGGTTGCCTCTATGCAGGGCACGCTAGGTATATCGTTTACAGTCTGGGGCATGGGGCTTAGTCTCGTGTGCGTTTTTTCTCCCTCCTACCTAGTGTGCGCTCAGGGTCTAGGCTTGGAGTTTAGAACCCGCGATGGGGCAACTGGGCCTCTAAAGGAAGAGATTCAGTGGACGAGGCATAACATGTTTCGGTGTCTGGGGCTTGATGCCCAGACTTTCGGAGCTGTTGTGTCTATGCGCTCTACACCGTAATCCATCCAAAACTCGCAGGGCATAAAACATCCTAAGCCGCAAAACCGGTGAGAATGGTGAAACTCCACCGAAAAACCTACACGTGCTCTGTTACTACCCATGTGCAAGCTGTATCCAACACCCTCAAAACGGAAATGCCTGGCCCAGGGACAAGCCCTTAAGCCTTAAGCCTGACAGCCTGAAAGCTTTAGTAAAGCATAATGTGGCGGTCGGTTTACGGGTAGGGTACCCCCCCCCCCCCCCCCACCCCAAAAAGTTTTGGTCTCTTTAATTTGGAACCGGTAGCCCCGGACAGGGGTCAGGGGTCTGAGTGGCAGGGAATTGGGAGGTGCCGGGGTTTGGGGGCTGGCTTTGGTGCAGGGTCTGCGGTTCTGCGCGACTGCGCGGTCGGGGGTCGGAGGGGTCTGGGCCAGCGCCTGAAACCCTAAACCCTGAACCCTAAACCCTAACGAATCCTAAACTCCTAAACCCTATAACAAACCCTAAACCCTAAGCCCTAAACCCTTCCAAAGAGGGGTCGGTTCAGATTCGACCCAAAACTTAATTTTTATACAAACTTTAGTACTGGAGAGGCCTCTTTTGAGCTAGGGTCCAATCCCCGATTCGGCGGTTCACCCTAGCAGCCCCCCCAATAATCAAGGTATAGTAGTATAGTAGTACTGTAGTAGTACAGTAGTAGTATAATAATAGTGCAGTAGTACAATAGTAATACAACAGTAGTACAGTGGTAGTACAATAGTAGTACAGTAGTAGTACAGTAGTAGTACGATTATAGTACCGTAGTACAATAATAGTACAATAGTAGTACAGTAGTAGTACAATAATAATGCAGTAGTACAATAGTAATACAACAGTAGTACACTGGTAGTACAATAGTAGTACAGTAGTAGTACGATTATAGTACAGTAGTACAATAGTAGTACAGTAATAGTACAGTAGTAGTACAATAGTAGTACAGTAGTACACTAGTAGTACAGTAGTAGTACCACAGTAGTACAGTAGTACAGTAGTAATACAGAAATAGTACAGAAATAATACCAATAAGCAAAGCATAAAGCCAGTGAGCACATTCCCCCAATAAGCAAAGCATAAAGCCAGCGCCTGAAACCCTAAACCCTGAACCCTAAACCTTAACAAACCCTAAACCCTAACGAATCCTAAACTCCTAAACCCTATAACAAACCCTAAACCCTAAGTCCTAAACCCTTCCAAAGGGGGGTCGGTCCAGATTCGACCCAAAACTTAATTTTTTATACAAACTTTAGTGCTGGAGAGGCCTCTGTTGAGCTAGGGTCCAATCCCCGATTCGGCGGTTCACTCTAGCAGCCTCCCCCAATAATCAAGGTATGGTAGAATAGTAGTACAGTAGTAGTACAGTAGTAGTATAATAATAGTGCAGTAGTACAATAGTAATACAACAGTAGTACAGTGGTAGTACAATAGTAGTACAGTAGTAGTACAGTAATAGTACGATTATAGTACCGTAGTACAATAATAGTACAGTAGTAGTACAGTAGTAGTACAATAATAGTGCAGTAGTACAATAGTAATACAACAGTAGTACACTGGTAGTACAATAGTAGTACAGTAGTAGTACGATAATAGTACAGTAGTACAATAGTAGTACAGTAATAGTACAGTAGTAGTACAATAGTAGTACAGTAGTGCACTAGTAGTACAGTAGTAGTACCACAGTAGTACAGTAGTACAGTAGTGATACAGTAATAGTACAGAAATAATACCAATAAGCAAAGCATAAAGCCAGCGCCTGAAACCCTAAACCCTGAACCCTAAACCTTAACAAACCCTAAACCCTAACGAATCCTAAACTCCTAAACCCTATAACAAGCCCTAAACCCTAAGCCCTAAACCCTTCCAAAGGGGGGTCGGTCCAGATTCGACCCAAAACTTAATTTTTTATACAAACTTTAGTACTGGAGAGGCCTCTTTTGAGCTAGGGTCCAATCCCCGATTCGGCGGTTCACCCTAGCAGCCCCCCCCAATAATCAAGGTATAGTAGAATAGTAGTACAGTAGTAGTACAGTAGTAGTACAGATTTTCATTCCTGACGCCCCAATAAGCGAAACAATTCTGCAAGAGATTTTCGGGCTTCAGGGCCAGGGTTTTAGGGTTGGGTGGGGGTTTGGGTGGGGGTTTAGGTCGTGGCTGCCTTAAGATTGACCATCAGCAAACAGCACAGCCCCGCCACCAAAAAAGCCCTCCCAGTCAAACAAAAACGCATTAATTAGACCGCCCAAATTTTTGGTACCGGTCGGAATTAGCCCCCGAGCCGACGCATTAAAGGAGCCCACGTTCCTAAACCGACCGGCACATTACGAAAACCCTACAAGAACCCAAGACCCCGAGAACACCTTTTATAAGCCCAAGTGCCTACAAACTTTCAGACTGTCCAATCAACAAAACCCCTGGCAAGCAAGATCCGTATCAAGTATAATAACTTCGTAACCAAACACCTACGACCTACATACACTATACAATGTATACATCGTAAGATACTTCGTGCAAGAGCCAAAATTTCGACGCCTCGTCCAGAGATGCCAGGAGGATGACAGCTTCCGGGGAGGTGCGGCTGACAGCCCCGTGCTCGAACATTTTCTTGTAGATGCCTTTGAGTGTTAGGGTCCCAGAGGCTCCCTTGAACTTGAAGGGTGCCGAACTGGTGCACCAGGGAAGGGTTCCGGGTTTGACGTAAGGCTGCGAGTCTAGGGTCCGGTTCAAGCTTTAGGTTTAGTGATCGAGATTTGCCAAACCCTCAAGTTTGCATAACCCCAGGAGCAAACCGCAACCTTGAGCCTTAAACCAAGCAAGACCTATTCTGCAGATTGAAGGCCCCTATGCTAAATCCTCAATAAGGTATCCTGTAATCCGTATAATAGAACCCTGTGATGAAACCCTATGAACCTGATCCTACAGAAACCCTATTCGAAATGTCAATGTCCCTCGATTGCTCTGAGACTATCGGCTTCCTTTCATCCCAAGGCCTGGGGGTCTTGAGGAATTGGGGTGTAATAAGAGGCTTTAGGGTTTTTTGACACTCACACTCGGACAAGCCTGGCAAGGTCCGCAGAAGTAGGTTCGACGTGACAGGGTTTAGGGTTTGGGCTGTTCAAGGCTACAGGGTTTGCGGGCTGTATGGCCTTGGGGCTTCAGGGCTTGCGGGTTTGGACCTTTCAGAACTCTGAAATCCAGGTGAGTCTGTAAGACTCGCCGAAGGAAATCAACATGGAACTACCCCGACATCAACTCTCGGCCTCGCGAGGAAAGGAACCCACACCTAGGCTTTGGCGGCCAAATCGGTTCCTGGCAGATTGGCATGGTCGTGTCGAGGCCATGCTCCATTGGTGTCGGGAAAGCCAGTTCCTCTCCAGCTGGGCTGCAGCAAGAGAGATCAGAGCGTATTCAGCACTCCTTTGAAACGCATGCATGGCGGGCTGCCACGGCGTTCGGGAGGATCAGTTTCTCTGAAGAGATCGGCCTGCTAGGCACTGGCACTTTCATGTATGGCTCAAAAACCTTGCCAGTAATCATGCCTTCGACAAGGCTCCGAAAGGAAATGGGCACACGAGCTTTGCATAGAGGGCCAGCCCGCAGAATTGGAGCAGTCTGATCCCAAGTCGAAAGGATAACCTTCATTTCGGGGTTTGAGGTTCGGTTTCCGCTATACTTGGAACCTCACATGTAGGTAAGTAACTTATTCGGGCCACCCCATTTTCATCCCGACAACACCAAATCATACACGGCCTATCCACTCCTAATCTAGGATGCCCAGTAACCTAGACAGAAAAAGGGCCCCTTTTTGGTATTGGGTACCTTTACAAGGAACCTAGGACTACAACAAGGGAATAAGGGCACTACTGGGCATTCTAGTAACAGGATCCTCAGCAAGATTTCGAGGCTTATGGCCGCAACTGAAGTTTACGGGGCTCTGACCCTAGGGGCCCATGTGGAGTTTTCGAAACTAGGGGACCCTAATATAGCATTAGCACCTTAAATGGTAGGACCCTTATAAGGACCCCAGAAACTCCCATGTACGCAGAGCAGTATACCGTCCCGGCCACATGAACTTTTCTTCGCTGTTGCTTGGGCCCTGCAACGAACTACAAGTTGAACACATCATAGTAGTTCGATCTTTGGGATTGCCTTATAGGATTTGATATATGAACCCCAAAAAAACTATGGGCCTATGGGTATAGCCCTGAAACCGTGACCCCGAAAAGTCCCCCCCCCCCCCCAGCCTGAAGCCTACGCTCAACCCAAAGCCCCAAAACTTCAACTCAACCCTTCAATGCCGCGTGGGCTCTTCGCGTCGTGCGGAGCAAAGCTTGCCGAAGCTGGTTCAAGATCGTCCTTGGCGAATACAAGGGCCTGAAGGAGTAGAACAAGGTTTGGGTGGCTACACTAGCACACTGATCTATCAGAATCACCAGGAACCCTGAAGAAGGTTGTTCCGGCTTCTATATATTGCATTGGACCGGCTCCCCTAATCGCCTTAGTGAAAGCTACGATGAGGCTTAGTATCAGGACTACTGTAACGGTTCGGCAGGTAAAACAGAGGCTTAGATCCACCTGTATATAGACGGCGCTGCTCTTGAAGCAGCGTCTTCGGTTGCAGGTTGCTTCTTCGG